GGTCGCTAGACTTCCCGTCAGTAGGCTTTGCAGGCCATATGGTCTCTGTCTCAAGTACCCCACTTTGCCACTATAGTATGGAAACTGTCACACACAATACTTAAATAAATGAGCAGGACTGTGTTCCAATAAAAGTTTATTTCTGGAAAGTGACATTTGAATTTCGTATAATAGCACGTCACGGGTTTGTTTGGTATTTTTTTCCAACTATTTAAAATGTAAAAACCATTCTAAATGGTTGGGGAAAAAACCTAAACTCATGAGCCATGCAAAAACAGGTGGTGGAACAGATTTTTGACAAAAATGTAGAAGCAATTCAATTCAATGAAGGAAGAATAGTCTTTTCAACAAATTGTGCTGGAGCAAATGAATATCCATTAGGTAACAAAAAAACGAATCTCAACCTAAACCTTACATCTTACACAAAATTAACTCCAGATAGGTCACAGATTTAAAATCTAAAAGGCAAAATTGGAAAAATTTTAGGAGAAACTCTTTGGGGCCTACGGTTTAGGAGCTTAGACATGATTATCAAAAGAAAGATCCATTAAAAAAAAAGATTAGCAAACTGGACACCATCAAAATAAAATAATTTTGTTCTGTGAAAAACAATCTGCAGACTGCTACAAAATATTTGCAAACCATGTATCTGACCAAGGACCTGTATCTAAAACAAAAGGAACTTTTAAAACTTAACAGAAAACAAACAAGTCAATCAGAAAAAGGGAAAAAGCCATACAGAGACATTACTGACAAGGACAAATGAATGGCAAATACTTACATGAAATTATGTTCAGTATCACTAGACATTAGGGAAATGCAAATTAATCATGATGAGCTATTACTACATATTTATTAGAACTGTTAAGCCAAAAAATAGTGATAATACTGGCAGAAGTGCAGAGAAAATGGATCTCATACACTGCTGGTGGGAATGTAAAATGGTACAGACACTCTGGAAAATAGTTTGGCAATTTCATTTTTAAGAAACTAAATACACACTTACCACATGACCCAGCAATCACATTCCCAAAAAAGTGGAAATTTAAGTCCACACAAAAACCTGAATGTGAATGTTCATAAACTCTATTTGTAATAGCTAAAAACTGGCAACAACTAAAATGCCTTTCAATGGGTGGATGGTTAACCATGCTGTGGTACATCCATACCATGGTATACTGCTCAGCAATAAAAAAAAAGCTACTGATATACACAACTTAAGATGGATCTCAAGGACATTATGCAGTGAATGAAGCCAATCTCAATAGATTATGCACTGTTTGATTCCATTTGTATAAATTCTAGAAATGGCAAAATTGAGGAAATGGAAAACAGATTAGTGGCTGCCAGAGGTTAGGGATTGGGAGATGGGAAGAAAGTAAGTGCTTATGATTATAAAGGGTTAGCACAAGGGAAATGTTTGCAGTGATGGATTAGTTCTGTATCTTGATTGCAGTTGTGGTAACAGTAACCTACATATGATAAAATAGCATAGAACTATATACACATATTGTACCAGTGTCAATTTCCTGATGATGATATTGCCCAAGAGTGATGTAGTAAGATGTAACCATTGGAGAACACTGGTGAAGGGTAGAGACTTCCCTGTACTATTTTTTGCAACTTCCTATGAATCTGTAATTATCTCAAAATAAAAAAGTTAAAAAACAACTGGCAGGTTTTGCCAACTCCTGAACCTATTTGATTGTCTAGCATCCATAATTTCACAGAATTAAATGGGGTCACAAATTTTTCAATTTTACTTGACTATATTTTATGGAGAATACTATAAAATACAGTAGTATTGAAAATCTGAGGATAAGCAAAGCTAAAATACAGCTCCGTAAGACAAATCTACCCACTCTCCTTAAAGTTATTTCAAGGATCAAGCATCATAAAATAATAAAAACCAGTATTAAGTGAGTGCCTAGTATGAGCCACGCACTCTTTTAACTGCTTTCCACATATTGTTCCACTTAATCCACGTAACCACCTTATAAGGAAAAACTGCAATTTCATTTTACAGACAGGAAAACTGCGGCAGAGAGAGGTTAAAGTAATTTGCCCATGGTTACACAGTAAGTGGTAGAGCCAAGATTTAAACAAATTGACTCCAGAAACATGCCGTCTGCATATCACTGTAACAGTACAAAAATGTTCAAAGAAAAGGGGAAAAAGGTATCTGGTTAATGTGTGGAAAAGCCTAAGTTAAACAAGGTTAAACTAAATTTATTTTCTGTAAGGTTCTCAGAACTTTCAAAATGCTAGTACATGTCATATATATAGCATGCAGTTTTCCCTGAATATATTTGGCTAGGGAACTCTTTTCCCTCAGAATAAAGTCCATCCAACAGTCTCAGCCAAAAATTAAAATGTTTAAATGGCCTGATCTCAACCCACTTTTCCTCACATATGGACAAACCACCAATGCTTTGAGCTGCACTAACCAATGTGATAGCCACTAGCCACATGTGATAATCAAAATTAAATAAAACCTAATTTTTTAGTCAATAGTTACATTTCAAGTCTTTGAGACTTGTTGCAAGAGCTACATGTGGCTCTCAATACTGTTGAGTCGTCCTGACTGACTCACAGTGACCCCTCCTTGGGTTTCCAAGGCGGTATCTCTACGGAAGTAGATTCCCAACCTTCCTACCATATTAGATAGCACAGATATAGAACACTGCCATCATCATCTATTGAACAGCACTGGGTGGGAGGTTTGTTTTTGTTTCTTTTTAAAGAGTATGGGGACTATGCAATCTTTAGAGAAAACACATTATGAATTATTACACATCACTGCCATTTCCCCCTCATGAAAAGGCACTAGTCAGAAATCCCTGATGACCTAAAGTTTCCTACTGTCACTATGATGTCAAGCAGGGGAGGATTACTCAATAAGCTAGGTAATTAAGGGCTTACTTGTACTTACTTACCAATCTGTAGTGAACAGTTTCACAAGTTTCACCACATGTGGAACTGTTTTTTAGTAAGTAAGCCTGTGCTTACCTTGCTTACTGGGTATTCCATCTCTGTAAGGGATTGAAAATTTGAAAAAGGCTTCGATTGTGTAGGAAAGTGCTGTGGGGTTGGGAGAGAGGCAGATGGCAGCCATACCTAGAAGCAGAATCCCTGATGTGATTAAAAAAAAAAAAATGTGAAATTATTCACTACAGATTAGTAAATAAGCACAAATAAGCCCCTGCTTGCCCTGCTTATTGGGTAATCTGACACTAATGTCAAGGCACAGGGGAAAAGGTAACCAAGAATGGGAAAAATGAATAGCAGACAGAGAAGGCAACATTGTGCCCCTGGGAAATGAAGCCTGGACTGGGATTCAGGAGACAAGGGTACACTGCTCTTATTTTACCAATAACTGACTGAAAATTTTTTTTTAATTTTTGTACTTGGCGCTAATTTGTGACTTGACTAGACAAGTCTCTTCACTGCTTTGGGCCTCAGTTTTCTATTATATAAACTGAAAGATCTCTACAATTCCCTCTAGCTCTGCATGGTTAAAACACACAATAGAAATGAGAAGGTAGATAATGAAAGTAAAAATTAAAGAGTAAGATCACCGCATACTGGTAGTGGAAAATGGCACTGTCAGCTGCTATAGTTCTATTGGATTTGGATACCACAAAGCAACAGAGATTTAATTCAATATATATTGAGCAATTATTTGCAACAAATTGTGTAACTGGCAGAATAACAACAGCAACAATGATTAGTCTTAAGACTAAATATGAATATAAGACTTTAGGAAGAATTTGACAGTTTAAACTGAAATACTGGTTCATTAACATATGATAGCCTAACAGGGCCAGAACTCAAAGAAGTATCCTAAAATTTTCTTGACATGATTAATTACATAAAATCATATACAAATTACAAACACATAAAAAAAACAAAAACAAAACCCACTGCCATGGAGTGGATCCCAACTCATAATGACCCTATACAACACAGTAGAACTGCCCCACAGGATTACCAAGCTATGGTCTTTACGGAAGCGACCTGCTTATTTTTCTCCCGTGGAGCTGCTGGTGGGTTCCTACCGCCCGTCTTTAGGTTAACAGCCAAGCACTTTAATCACTGCACCACCAAGGCTCCAAATTCATATTTCATTTCTTCCACATACACAAAAATATATAAATAAATGCTACAGATAATTCAGGAATGGGGAAATACTAGTTTTGGCCAACAAACTTTCTCTAGAACCCACACTTAATTAGGTAGTCCTACATTTTCTGGGCTAAATATTCTTTACTTTGGTAAGGATTATGGGAATTAAGTAGACTCTCAAATTGTACAACACAGAGTAAAATACAACTGCACACTTTTCACTTTTCAGAGGCTTACTGGTCCTATTTCCTAGGATCAAAAGGGAGAGAAAACCTTCCCCCCATCCCTGTTCTAAGAACTAAGATAGTCAAAATGAAAAAATTATTTTAACCTCCAGATAAAAAAATAACCAAGTCACCCAAATCACCATAAAAAATTAATTTTTAAAAAGAACGAAGAAAACAGCTTGGTATTTTCTCTTGCTAAGGCAACCAGTGAGTTGTGTAATCTCTAAAAGAATTCAAACTCATTAAGGCGGACAAGGGTGCGTATTACAGCTTCCCAGCAAGGAAAACAGGGAAACATGATTTCAGCGACAAGCCTTTACATTAGAAAGGCAGTTTTTAATATCCCACTTACTAATCCGATGCCAAGGACCGCGCGGCGCGCAAACCCTGCTGAATTTGAAAACAAACGTTGCAGTAGGCTCAGGGACTGGTTAAGGGAGCAGGTAACTGACAGCTTGGACTCGGAGCAAGAAGCCTCAAGTAGGTCAGATTGTGTCAACGGTCTGAAATCCATAGTCCATCCCATTGGGCTTAAGGGAAAAGAGCAGCAGGAGGCAAACTGGGATTTGGCGTCTTTCAGTACCAAAGGGGCGGGATATCAGAACTAAGACCCAGAGCCCAAGCCCGGGGCAGTTTGCCTGCTCTCACCTCTCTTGGGGGCCTTGATCATTGGCACCCCCCCAGTCCTCTCGCCGTTTTCCTGCTTGTCCTTGTGTTTGAGATCGCTCGGAACGCAGGGTCTAGGGTCACCATCCGGACCGCGGTGGTGATGGTGCTTGTGCCGCTCCTTGTGGCCCTTATGTTTGGGCCCAGCCGCGCTCACCGTCAGGGGCGAGAAGGTGAAAAGGGCCGAGGTGCCAGGGGCCGGGAGCGGGGCAGCGACAGCGGGCCCAGAGGGTGCCAGCGAAGGTGGTGGCGGAGGCGGCAGGAGCAGAGGCTCAACAGGGCCTGGAACGCTTGGGGCTGCATTCGTTGGCGGCAGCGGCCCGGGATGTTGGCGGCTGCGACGACGCCGGTGAGGGGGAGCGAGAGGGGGGTCCTGGCTCGGCCGCCCCCGCTTCTCCTGAGACCCCCCACTGCTCGCCCGGCGCTGTCGCTTCACGCCCCGTGGCGAGGCCCCAGCATGGGGCTTCTCTTTCCCCTCTTTGTCCGGCTCCTCCGACGCCGCCACCGCCCGTACTACGCGCACAGCTCCGACCTGCGCAGCCATTTCACCCACAAACACACATTTAAATGGCCCGACCGCCCCCCCGTCCGCGAATCGCGCAAGCGCTGCCCGCGCATGGCCCGCTGGGCTTTGGAGTTTCTCCTCCTCCTTCCACTTCTCTGCTGGTCTTAGGGTTGAGCTGAACATGCCGGAAGCGGTTGTTCCCTGCGTTTCTCTGCAGGCCTCTCCAACCGAGCTTCTATTGTAAAGCACCCTGGGCTGCGCAAAGCCTCATGGGAGCGGTAGTTCCCGCGTGCTCCCCGTCTTGTCCCTGGCTCTGTGAGTGGAGGATCGCCGAGGGAGCGTGCGCCGAGTCACGCTTCGGGCTGCGACGCAACCGCCACTGGGCGGTGAGTTGCCGCCAACCGCCTTAACGGCCGAAACAATATTAATGGCTTTTAGAGTCTGTTGGCGCGTTCTCATTGTCATCTTCCTGTGCCTCTTTCATTTCACACGGAGTAGGTGGTCTCCATAGTTACTTTTAAATTTCATATTCCTGTCATAAGCTTTGTGAGATTATAAGAATCACTAGTCTTAACTAACAATGAAATGAAGGGGCAGGAGGAATTAAGTAATATGCAAAGTAAGGTGATTCAGAAATTCAGAAGATGTCTGAAACATGTTCACGAGCATTGCTGTGGTTACAACTTACAGGTGTAAGAAGGCAGGTGCAAGAACTGCCTGGGAGCGTAGAGAGCACACGGCCCCACTTCGCCAATGAACGTCCTTTCCAATGCCTATTAAGGTGGAAAATATCATTTATTTTTAATACATCTGTACGGTTACAAAAAGTTGTAGATGGAAAAACACTGTTTAATGTTTTTCTAAATAAGACATTTTCTAGACTATAACGTTGCATAAATAAGAGAGGAAAAATAATGTATCCACTAGTAAACACTCCCGAAATCGTCATCGTTTACAAGCGACAGCTGCTGCTCAGAAATTCATTTACAATTGTGTTGTTCCTTCAGATTTTACCTTGGATTCTTTGACTGTATTTGGTTCCTGGTAAAGATAAATTAGAAATGTTTGACTTACCATAAAATGTTCAGCAGATAAAAGTACTGTGGTGCCACTAATGCCTGAAGAAATATTACTTCAGCTAAGTGAACACTACCCCAATAAAGTTAGCTTAAAAACAAAAGTTTATTGAGTACTGTCTTAGTTATCTAGTACTGCTATGGCAGAAATACAAGTGGATGGCTTTAACAAATTATTCTCTCACAGTTTAACTCACTGCAGTCCAGTCAGATCTGATTCAATAGCGTCCCCTCCTTGGTTTCTGTGGCAGTATCACTACGGAAGTAGATTGCCCAACTTCTCACAGTTTAGAAGGCTAGAAATCTGAGTCCAAGGCACCAGCTCTAGGGGAAGGCTTTCTCTCTGTTGGCTCACAGTTTAGGAGAAAGTCCTTGGCTCCTTTCAACATATGTGAGCCCAGCATCCCTTAGGAGATTGACATGCGTTTTGGCATCAGACTTTCCCTGGGTCTAGAAGGTTCACTGCGCAGGAACCATGGGTCCAAAGGACATGTCCACTCCCAGCTCTTCTTTCATGGTGGTACTGAGGTCTCCTCTCCTCTCCCCTCCCTCCCCTCCCCTCCCCTCCCTTTCCCTCTCCCTCTCCTTCTCTCCCTCTCGTTGTCTCTCTCTCTCTCTCCCCCCCCTCCCTCTCTCTCTCTCTCTCTCCCTCTCCCTCCCTCCTTTCTCTCTCCTGTTATCCCTTGTAAGATAAAAGGTTATGCACCCCACACCCCTGGAAAACTCCTCTTACTTGGATCAGGGCTATAACCTGATTAAGAGTATTGAATCCCACCCTAATCCCCTTAAAATTGATTGGCTGATCACAAAATGTGAGATGATTACATCTTTACATAACTGCCAAATTGTATAACTAATACTAATCTTGCCTCATTAACATCACAGAAGTTAGGATTTAGAATGTGTAATACTGAGAATCAATCCATAACAAGTACCTATTTTGTACATTGTATTTCAAGAAATATTTAACAGTGTTTGATTCAATTTGCTCTATCAAGATTCCTAATGAAAACTGTTGTAGGGTAAATTATGTTTTTAATAGTTTCTAAAAGTTAGATTTTGTGAAAATAAAGGAAATTATTAAATCATTAGTAGTCAGGTGAATCCTTTGTAATAATAGTTACTAATTTATCTGTTATGCAGAATTAGATTTGAACTCTCATATTTTCTTAAGTCAGATCCATATTCATATAGAAATATATTTATAAATTGGCAGTTACTTTGGTTGGTTTTATGTAAGTTGCACATTTCATAGGACTTTTCAAATGAAGAACATACTACCAAAAGATAGCTATTCCATTGGTTATGCTTCAGTAATTATAAATTGGCATATCCCTGCTCAAAAAAAATGATTACAGTCATATTTACATATTTTAGTTCCTTAAGTAGGAGTCTCTATTTAATGCAGATAGCCTGAACAATGGGAGGTTTGAGGCCACCAGGACACACTTTGGAAGAAAGACCTGGCATCTATTTTTGAAAATTTAGCCATTGAGAAACCTATAAAGCACAATTCTCCTCTGACACACATGGGATGGCCATGATTTGGGCTTGTTAAACATAACTTCTCCTTTTCTTACTCCTCTAGTTTCCCAACATTTGAAAAAGACGCACAAGGTATACTCCACTTAGGCAAAATAACTCACAGGGAATAATCATTGTCACAGCAGCAATTTTGTACTGTAATCACAAGGTAAGATTTTTTTTTTTTTTAACACCTCATGGTAAATTCTGACGTTGTAGAAATATAATGCTTGAAATCTAATTCTTAAAATCTTTTCAAGTGTATACTAATGTAGAAAAGTAAAAAAGAATAAAAATTTTTTTCCAAAAATGAAAAATAAATCCATTCTAAAACAGCGTTTCTCATACAACATTCTTTACATAACCACAAGTGGCACATTTTCATTTGCTATTTTCAGTGCAAGGTAAATGAGATGAAAACGCATAACTTCTGGCGTTTATTTGCATATTGCTTTTCTTTTAAAAACTTCAAACATTAACATAATTTCATTGTTGATAGTAACATGGACCACACTTATTTTAGTCAGCAGTATTCTAGTTGTTTTATTTGCAGATCCACTTGCAGCCTTGTTGTTGTTGGATGCCTTCGAGTGGATGCTAACTCATGGCAACCCCATGTGACAAAGTAGAATTGGCCCATAGGGTTTTCTTGGCTGTAATCCTTATGGAGGAAGATCACCAGGTCTTTCCCCTGTGGAGTTGCTGGGTGGGTTCGAACTGCCAACCTTTTGGTTAGCAACCAAGCACTTAACTGTTGCCTAAACCCAAAGTTGAATTAAATATTCCAAGTTGGTGGTGGGTTCCTTGGTCCTTTGGGTTTTGAAAAACGATTTGCAAAACCTGGGAATAAAAATAAAATTTAACAAAAAGAGTAAAACTTCTATATAAAAATGAATCCATGAACACTTTGTAATATATGCAGATATATTAGATTTTATAATATAGGAAAATATATGGATTTTTTTCAAAAAGTTAGGCAGCATCTTTAATAAATATAGTATTAGATTGCAATGGCATTATACTAATTGATTTAAAGCTTAAATGATAACAATAGAATACTAATAACATTTTACATTTATGGAACACTTCAAAATTTAATAAGGGTAATAAATGGATGAAGAAAGCTGGTTATAAAAGCCTTTTATAATTCAGAGTATAATAATATCCTTTATCTATATATCTTTTCACCTCCAACACCCATCACAAAAATAGAAGTGGGAAATCTCAATTTCAGAAAAAAAAAAGCACTTTTACTTTACATTAAAAAATTATACCTCCAAGACTATGGCCCGAGTCAACCTTCAGGCCTGAAATGGAACTCACTCCCTTTGCTTCTAGCCAAACAGTAAGACAGGTGTATAAGGTCAACAAGGTGGTATAGTGCCTAAGGCATTTGACTGCTAGCCAGGAGGTTATTGGTTCAAACCCACCATCCATTCCATGGAAGGAAGTAAAGATTTATCACCTTGGAAATCCAATGGGGGTCACTAAGAGTCTGAATTGACTTGATAGCAGTGAGTTTGGATTTTTAATGAGGTCAACATTTATACCAGGTAGGTACACTCCCCTTAGAACAATCAACCATGGGAGATCAGAAGAGCAATATTTACACAGGAAAATAGCTCAGAGGGCAAGAATGTAGCCATGTAGTTGTTCAGCAGCCTGTCATGCTCTGCCAACTTTGGGACTTACAGTGGACTTGAATTAATGGCCTGCCATGTGGTTTGGTAACATCAAGACTGCCTTTTTACTTATCAACCATGGGCTTGGCAGCCAGCAGCTGTGTGAGTGAAGAAAAAATGAAGAAAATCCTCTAGCCGGGAGCTGGAGGCACAGCCAAAGCCCAAGGCTGAGGGGCTTTCACCCAGCCCTTAGAGCATGGCACTTTGAACTTGGACTTAAAGCCTCCAAATTTTAAGAATAAACTCCTGTTTGTTTAAGCCATCCCATTTGTGGTATATTCTTGTCAGAGTGGTACTAGGTAATCAGAACAACTTCACTGTATAATTCTATCAAACATTCAAAGAGTTAACACTTCTCCTACTCAGGCTGTTCCAGAACATAGAAAAGGATGGAATCCTTCCAACTTCATCTGTGAAGCAAGCATAACCCTGATACCAAAACCAGGCAAAGACACCACTAAAAACGAATCCTGTAGACCTATATCCCTCATGGATATAGATGTGAAAGTCTTCAACAAAATTCTACCCAATAGAACCTAACACTATATAAAAAATAACACACACAATGACAAAGTGAGATTCATACCAAGTATGCAAGGATAGTTCAACATTAGATAAAAACTAACATAAATAAAACAAAAGAACCACATTATCATATCAATCAATGCAGAAAAACATTTGATAAAATCCAACACCCATTCCAGATAAAAACTCTCAGCAAAGCAGGAATAGAAGGGAAATTCCTCAACATAATAAAGGGCATATATGTGAAACCAACAGCCAACATTATTCTCAATAGAAAGAGATTGAAAATCATTCCACAATTCCCTTGCTAACAAGAATCAGACAAGGATGCCCTCTGTCACTACTTCTATTCAACATTGTACTGGAAGTCCTAGCCAAGGCATTACGGCAAGAAAGAGAAATAAAAGGCATCCAAATTGTCAACAAAGTAGTAAAATTGTCTCTATTTGCAGCTGATATAACCCTATACATAGGAAAAAACATTGGAACAAATTGAAAGAGTCAGCAAAGTGGTAGGATAGAAGATCAGTATACAAAAGTTGGTTAGATTCCTCTACATCAACAAAGAGCTCTTTGAAAATGAAATAAGGAAAGCAATACCATTTACAATAACTACCAAAAAGATTAAAATATTTAGGAATAAATCTTACCAGAGACACAAAAGACCTATAAAAAGTAAACTACAAAATGCTACTACAGACCAGGAATTCCGGCAAGATGGCAGACTAGGCAGAAGGACTGCACAGACGCTCTTCAACAAAGAAAAGGGAAACCAATTAACACAGATGCAGAAGATAATCCTGGACCCCTGAGCCATGAAGGGAAGGATACAAAAGTGGACTAAACCCCAACTAGCAGAAGAATTTG